TAAATATTTAATCAGGATATAGAAGAAATTATTTCTTTTGGCAAAAGCACGTAACTGTAGGGCTGGCAAAAGCAGCAGGGAACTTTCAAAACCACACCAACAGCGTGTGCACGGGAAAGCCACCGCCGTTAGCGAAGGACGCAACTCCTGAAGACGCTGCCTAGGACCTGGAAATGGGGGCAAAGTCAGGAAAGGAAGACAAGACGCCAACGGCTGCCACTTCGTGTCACTGTCATTGTCTCACACTTGTGTCTTATGTTTCCGACCCACAGTGTCCGGGGACATTCCACATTTGGGAGGAATTACGTGCAAAAGTGAACAGGGGATTAGAAAGCAAGGTGGGACACGCAGGAATCGATGAAGGGTAATTAAAACATTTTAAGTTTCCAGCACTAAATTAAGATAACGTATTTATCGCAGAAAGAGACCCGAGGACCACGAGTATGATTCACAGGGCTTGAGTGCTACAGACGTGGATTTTAACGGAGCCAGTATTCGCACGATAACCTGCTGCGTAGCAGGTGAGCGAGTTAGTAAGACATACCGGTTGGCAGGGAGGTGCCACAGAGCTCGCTACTTCTCGGTGAATGAGAGTTCGATGAACACACCACCTTCGGCTGAAGCATCAGTCGTTATTTAGCCACTGCGGAGGCACTTCCGAACCTCCCCGCGCTCCAGGAGGCAGCGCTACAAAGGGTCTATCAGCCGCCGAAGGTCTGGTCATGAGTTTAATGAACACACACATCACCTGCTCTACAGTTTCTGGTCCTGGTTCTGCCACCTGGCAATTAGCTGGCAAAAGGAAAATTCCTGAACGCTTTTATAGTTCAGTTTCTCCCTCCTCCTTTCCCCAAATTCAGGAATACTCAGAGTACAAATGTTTGCAAAATATTTTGTGTCCCTCGAAAATACTGAGTTAGGGGTAAGGAGTTGTATGTTGGATTCGCCCAGAAGATAAAACATCCCAGTAAACTTTAAATTGCTGACACTAAGATACAAGTTTTTCCCGCCTGATAGAAAACCTTCAAAGTGCTTCCCAACGTCAGCGTCTATGTGGACCCCGAAGTCCTGAGAATGAGACCGAAACCAACACTGAACGCTGTAGTAACTGCTGAGTAATTTACAAAACCCTCTGGCATCTCTATCGCTCCATCCTCGTCCTCAGCCTGTCCGAGAGGCAGGGCAGGAGGAACCTTTTCTGTCCTGCACACATGGAAGTCAGGTTTACAAACCGAGTGTCTGAACTCACAGGCAGAACTAGGACTCAGTAGGTCCCACGAGCTCAACTGTCCTTCCACCGCTGCCCCTGGCCCTGCTGAGCGAAGGAAGACGGAGGTCCCCCGTGGTGTGGACTCCGCTGACAGCCGGCAAATGCCACCAGCGTCCTTGGACCCCAAACAAACGATCCTGCTCCACTCACCTGCAGCTTCACAGCGATGACCACCGAGTTAAGGTCTTTGTCCATTTCCTTCAGCATGACGAGCTTCTTCAGGGTCAGGCTGAACAGCCTAGAAAACCACGGAGAAAGAACATCCTGTCAAATACGAGGCACTTACAGGTACCTTACTCCACAAACTTCCGTGGGTGCCCACTTACCTCAAGCTAAAACCAACGTGCTTTCACCCCCGGTACGTGGGAGCAGTTTCTGAGGGGAGGAGGAGCCCAAGGGAGGGGAATCGTCCTGTCCCTCGTCACACACCCGGCAAAACCTGACACAGCTACAGATGTGCACCTGTAGCCACCGGGGGAAACATGCCATTTGGCAGGAAATGGTTTAAATGATCACAAATTCGATTTCGGCTGAATTTTGCTCCAAGTATGCAGAAAATTTTCAGTGCCACAAATCAGGAAATTCCCCTTAACTGAAAGTGACAGGATTGTCCCTCACTCTGGAGTCTCAGCAACTCTATCTGACTTGGAGCTTGCCCCTTCCAAGGTCAAGGTACCCAGGCAGGGCTACCCTGGACTTCCAGCAGGCGCTGGGAGCGAGACTCCGGGTGCTGCCTTTCTGCGGCTGGCTCGAAGGGTCAAAATCTGTTTTTGTTTGTTTGTTTTGAACTCTGCACTGGGCTACAGTGCCGCGGCGTGAGCCTAGCTCACAGCAACCTCAAACTCCTGGGCTCAAGCGATCCTCCTGCCTCAGCCTCCCGAGTAGCTGGAACTACAGGCACATGCCACTATGCTCAGCTAATTTTTTCTATATATTTTCAGTTGTCCTGCTAATTTCTTTGCATTTTTAGTAGAGACGGGGTCTCGCTCTTGCTCAGGCTGGTCTCAAACTCCTGAGCTCAAGCGATCCTCCCGCCTCGGCCTCCCGGAGTGCCAGGATCACAGGTGTGGGGCACTGCACCTGACCGGTCAAAGTCTTTAAAATATTCTGTTCCTTGGAAAGTTCTGGAGAACCAGAGACACACAAGGGATGTCGCTGACTGGAGTCAGGACAAGCCCTGAGAATCCGAGCGGATTTTATGCCTATTCCCTCCCAGTGCTCACACCTCGGACTTGCTTCCGGCCAGCCCTTCCTCACACCCGAAGCTCCAGCCACGCTGACTTTGTTCTGGGGGGTCAGGGTGCTATACTCTTTCACCATGGCCTTCAGGCTGTTGTTTCTTCCGCTAGCAACACTGTTACGGTCGTGTCACTGGCCTGTAGCTAACGCCTCCTCGCCTCCCGGTCCTGGATCACGTGTTTTTGCCAGGAGGGCTACCCCAGCCCTTGGCCAAGCCTGCGATGCCCCCGGTTTCCTGCTGGCCTGCTGCAGTGTAACTTCCCGAGGACGGGCCGCGCACGCCCATCTCCCCGGTGCCCAAGCGCCGGGCACGGTAGAGTCGCTCAGCAAATATTTGTTACGTGAAGTTTAACAATTTCCTAAAATGGCCTCTAGCTAAGACCAGATGAACAAAAATATGTGAAGAAATTAATGTAATTCATTAAAAAAGGAGGGAAAATCCAGATAACTGAATTCTGGTTTTGCATTCACCTTGGCCTCGGCACTTTCTAAGATCTGCTAACGCAGAGGAAAACAAATTTCTCTTTCCCTTTCCCTCCGGTAAGTCATAACCAAAGTCCAGTAAAGTATGTGAAAGCCCATCAGGTCTTCCCATATATGCTATTAATACTTCATCTAGACCCCAAAACAGGGCTCCGTGTGTGTGTGTGTGTGTGGGGGGGGGGCCTCGGTTCTACCCGTACAACAGAAGGCAGGTTCCAAGCAGAGCACTGCCCCACCCAGTCACACAGCTGGTACGCAACGGAACTGGATTCCAACTCCAACCTCCTCGTAGCAGAACAAACACCTCTCCCCAAATGATGCCCACGTCCTACTCCCCAGAACCTGTAAATGTGTTACCTTGGCAAAGTCCCACAGCGAAAGGGTCTTTGCCGACGGGATTAATTAAGGATCCCGCGATGGGCAGAGTATCCTGCACTACGTGGGTGGGCCCCACGTAATCACAAGAGTGTTCGTAAGAGGGAGGCGGGAAGGCCAGAAACCCATTTTGGACTTGTGACCTGCAGAACTGCAAGATAATAACTGTACGTTGTCTGAGTCTTTAGTTCGCGGCCACTTGTCACGGCAGCAGTCAGACACGAGCGCACTTCTCACTCAGGGCCGGGCTCTCTAAGGAAATAAGATACATTTCTCCCTAACCACGTTCGCGCACAACAGATGGCGAGACTCCCAGACGCAGTCCCGAGGCTGGCGCGGCTGAGGCTGACGAGACGTTCTGACTGGCGGCATCCCAATGGCTAAAACGCTGAGTTAGACGCTAGAGGCCCACCCTGTGCTTCACAGTTGGGGCACTTCCCAAGCGATGAAAACGTGAGATCCAAGGCCTGAAGCGAAGGGTCCTTCCCTGATAACACCCCTGCTTTAACATACCGATTGTCACACTAGAAAAAATAAATTTTTCTTGGGGCCATGGTGTTTTATTACGAAAACAGAATAAAAACTTCAAAACAAAACGATCCTTTCTAATTTAATGAAAAACAAAATTTACTGACCTCTATTCATTTAATCCATGTTTTTAAAATTAATTTGTCAATATTAATTGTAACGGTAAGAACATGGACAAGTTAAGATATTCACAAACCACCTGCAGGGTTTTGCCCAATTTTGCTTCAC